GTCGGCGAAGAACACACATACACATTAGCACAGCGTTGTTTTACACAGCTACTAAACAGCTGTTCTACACTGACCACACACACATTAGCATCATCACTGTCTATCGTACGGGTCAACTTTCAACGAATAACAGCTCAGACACACACCTTAGCTGCATCACAACATTAGTTTGGGTTAGCTGTCGGCGAAGAACACACATACACATTAGCACAGCGTTGTTTTACACAGCTACTAAACAGCTGTTCTACACTGACCACACACACATTAGCATCATCACTGTCTATCGTGCGGGTTAGCTTGCAACACATAATATCTTAGATACACACATAGGGGCTCCAACACTGCCCTGAGTACGGTCAGATGTCGTCCAGTAAAATACACACATTAGCCTAAAGTTATTTCTACACAGCTGTTAAATATTCAATTATGGTAAACGATCAACCAGCATACGTCATACGTCATACGTCATGCCACCTACGAAGCACCCACGTGCCTGAGGGGGAAGAAGGGCGTAAACCCATCTCCACTCAATACTCGCCATTGGCCATCCACTCTATCCCACTCCACAAACTGACCACAGACAATAATTCCACCCCTCTACTGTCCCTGTAGTCAGCAGTGATAGGGAGAAGCATATTTAGTAAGGAATTCGCGACTCATCTTACAAGGGGAGGTATAAGAGAGCTCGCGCGGAAGAAACGAGGCTCTCGTGTACTCATCCCTCTGTTACGTGATTATATGTGTATTGTGAAACCCGTATTATACCCTGTGTTACTTGTACGAATTTTGTAAGTATTCAATAGTGAAACGGCAGTTTGTAATCCACATCCTTTCTACTCTTATTTTATTATCGTATTCGTAATTAGTCAAGCAATTACACGGCGCACATATAGCACGCAAGCTACCACGCACAGTTGTCTGGCAGCAGAATTACCCAGCGACTACAGTATACTAAGGAGAATTAGGAATAAGATAGCTAAGTATGAAGCTCGCAGTAAGTGTACGTAAAGGGAAGTCAACGAGAATTTAAACTATAGAAAATGCCGGATGATATTGGTACTTGGCTGTAACAAGTGGCCTAATATGTTTACTAAACTATGTATTACTAAAGAATGTATTACTAAGTTGTCATTCGCTAATCTGTATGTATTGTTGTTGCAGTAGACCGAGGCAGTCCGTATGTATGTAGCGGACTTTCTAATACGTAAAATACATATATGGATGCATGGGTGTTCAGGGACGAAATACTAATGTTAAATGCACTATAGTCCCGATTAATTGAGAGCGCGGTTGCAAAACCATAATGGCATGGCAATCATATTCGAATAGCACCAGCAACGGAACGCTGCAGTGCATTAATAATAACGAATCTCTATTACTTCACTACCTTCACAATATCCGTACCTAAGCTGCAGCTACAACGCAGCTTACCAACCATTGTCGGGGGTCGCCGACGCCGAGGACTGGGAGCCGACTGCGCACGATACCCCCGTCAGGAGGCCGACCTGGTTTTGGCCGAGGGGCGGGGCTTGGGCCCTTGCTGGGAGGAGCGCGCCAGTGCGCTAGCGCACCCGTTCTCATCACGATCATGGGGAGGGGCCGTGGGTACCCGCGCTCCGACATCTTGAGTCGCTCGGGGTTGCCGCGGCCGCCGCCGACCAGCATGAGCGAGGCGCTAAGGCAGGCCGTCGTCACCGCCGACGCGATGACCCAGACCACCTGTGAGAGGTGCGACTGTACGCACCCGGTGGTGGCCATGTCCCCGCGTCAATGCCCGTGGGAGCCGTTGCGCTCAACACCATCGTCGGCAATACGGAACACGGCCGCCTCGCCGGCACCACCATCGTCGGGGGGACGCGCACCCCACTCGCCAGCACCACCATCGTCGGGGGGACACGCACCCCACTCGCCATCATGGCAGCACAGTCCAGTACACCATAACTACGTCATAGTGTACCATGTAGAAATAATTTAGTTAACGAATCAACGAACAGAAGAAATCAAGTGTCTGACCAATGGTCAGGCATGGGGATGTGCTGATTTATTTGTGAGAGTATAAAATAGCATGCAGAGCT